CCACGTCTCCCGCCGCGCGCCGAAGCACCTCCAGGGCCTCCTGCGCAAAGACAGTCAGAGATGCGCTTCAGCTGGAGGGGAAATACCTACGAGCCAACTGCCTGGCGTACACGGAAAAGCTTGCTTTTGCGGGTATTATAATTCAAATATTTATTTCTTAATCTAATATATACATTTATACATACATTTATACATTTCAGTTGCTGTCTGGCTTAGTGTAAATTCTTACTTCTACATGACTATTATATATATTGTTTATAGTACATAAATATATTCGAGATCTACGCAGTGACTCCAGCTTGTCGTCTGGTGTTGTTGCAGATCTTATTTGTTGTTCCGCAGCTAGCTTCCTGTGGCATGGGATGCAGGAGGGCGCCTCTGCGGACTCTGTCCCGCGGTATCTGTTAGTACTAACGCGGGGCCAGGTGTATATTGCCGGTGTGCGTGTAGTAGCATGCCGCGCTGCCATCAATGGCCTCAGTGACTATTTTTTCCCTTAAAGCTTTTAGCTTGAGGCCATCCGCAACTTTCTTTAGTGCGGCGTCACTACCCGCACACCAATGTGGTGGTGCTGAGCACGTACTAAGTGGTACACACATGGAGTACAGCAGTACGCTCTGAAGGCCACAATACGCTGGCCGAAACTTTAGCCACCATGGCAGTGACGCGCTTCGTCTCGGATAAGCTAGACAACATAAACTCCGGCCGCGGAAGCCTACGCAACCTATTATAATAGTTTCTTAGGCTATAACTATCTGTCACGCGTTTCAAATAAATTAAATTATATAATAATACATGGATTTGTATTGTTTTTGTTGTACCTGATGATGGGAACATGGCAGGTTCTTGAAACGTTGTAATAAAGAAAATATTTTGAAATTTTCTCAATTTCGTACAAAAAAATTGGACTGTCAATAAATATATAGATAACCATATGTACTTAATTATATTGTAATAGTTGTTTATTATACTAGTTGCAAAAGAGTCATGCTATCTTTTGCTCTGAGTCCTGATGTTTGGGAAATATGAGCTGAAACATTTTTCCCCCAGAACCTAAAGTTAGCCTTAAATTTTGGATGCTTGTTTGTTGACTTACAATAATGGATAGTTGTATTTTCTACGTGGACAAAAATACCAGGTATGGTAAGTTCCAAATTGTAGATTTTTAACCTCTAGCCTAAAAGAAGCTTCTGGGCTTAATTCTCCTCATCGCCGTTTCGTTTCCCGAGTATTTCGTATTTCGTTACTAGTAGGTGAAAGGAGCGTAGCAAAAGCTCTTCAGCCGGAAGAGCAGCCCTGGTAGTCTGAGCCTCGCCATCCCAATAAAATGAGATTGATTTGAAAAACAACTTCCACACCGTTATGGATCAGCGAAATGCTTATGAGGAGGGCGCTTACAAATCAGGTACATCATAAACACCCACATATCAACTGTCGTCGATGTCAGGGACAGTGTATTAACGTGCGAAATAAATAACCCAGTAGAGCGAGCACATCACATGAGTAGGTGAGAAAGCACATTAAAATGTGACAAGCCTTATATCTTGAGCTTTATTATTAATTTGGATTTCCCTGGATAAGTTGTGCTATATTTTAAAATGAAATTCACGACAGAAATGAGGGATTTGTCGAGTAACACGTAGATGTGCTGTCCACCACCTGCTGCAATATTTACTCACTGAACTGAAATCCCCAGCTGTCTGCTCACAACACGTTCCGCTAATGTTTAGTCAAACGTTTCCAGGTCAACCATCAAGCAGAGTGATAACTTTCAAGGGTTGAAAAATTTGTCTTCTTTCCTAACAGGAGGCGATATCTCAGGGTTCAAAAGCCGTAACTATACTTCACCGAAATGTTAGGTTTTCTTGTCATGGTTTAAAGGCATAACTATAGATTTCGGATCTGGGAGATTGTTACAATTATCTTCGAGAATGAAACATTCTAGGGGAACAACATTTATTTTGAACAATTTGAATTCTGTGTGCATGTGTATATTTCAATTAATTCGTTTTAATGTAAATGTTACCTTCGAAAACAAAGTATAATGTGAATGAAAATGAATATTTTTTTTAGTTTTATTGCAGCATCTAAAGATTTAAATCAATTTATGAATTTAAATACATTTTTATCCACGGTTCATTCACAACTGAACGATACTATTACATGAGGCCAATTTCAATTATATTCACTAAACAATAAAATAGGAATGTAATATTTAGAAAAACATTTCAATTTCATATCTCTTCTCAAATCAACAAAGACAATTAGGAAAAAAACATTGAAGAGCCCCAGACTTTTCATCGGAACATTAAATTGGCTTCACCTCTTTCTATCACCCCAAAACGACCATCTCGACGTCAACCAGTACATGTGAATAGCACGTGTATGTGTTTATACGTACTCTCTCGCGGTGTACTGCACTGATTGCAGATATCTAGTCTTTTGGCCTTACTCTCGTACCACCCGCGCACGAAGTGTTGGGGATCCGGATACGCCGAAACGCGACCGGAATCACCCTATTAACGTAGGTGGGGCTATGAAGTATCCAGGATGGTTCTGCAGCCACTTAATACGACTCCTATGCGCCGCGACAAATCCCTCCTCAATAACCTCCGAGTATCCGGCACTACTTCGACGAAGCCACAAGCCGAACAAGGGGCACCCGAGTGTTACGCCAGAAAGGCTCTCCCTGCCAGAGACCTCATTGCAATTTACCTTCCAGCTATCGATGCTAATCTTTCACATAAACACGGCCCCCAGGCGGGATTTCCATTTTCCCACCAGGAATTTTACACACTTAGGCCTCGTGATTTATGCAGAGATTTGTAACTGGGGTATGATCAGAAAATTTACAGGTGTGGTAATCTGTTTCATCTATTGTCCATCAACAAACACCTGTAAATAGAGGCAAATACATTGCATTTATGATTTATATGTAAATGTAGGCAAATGTGCATAGATTTAAAATGATTAGAAAGATAATAGTTGCCCATGTGTGTTGTATTATTGGAATTATCCTTGCCTTGAATACCATAAATTGATGTATTTTCAACATTTTGGTCTTTTAAGTACTCGTGTATTATTATTATTATTATTATTATTATTATTATTGTTTATTATTATTATTAGTTGTTGCATTTGTCCTCGGATGGCACATAGAGTTTTAGGTTTCCGTGGTGCGATTCGGGTTCGATTCCCGATCTGGGCAAAATAGAGTGGTATCCTTCTAATATATTCGTCTGTTTCTGTAGCTGTGTGACGAAAGTGAAGCTCAGGCAGGCGGAATATGGTAAGTACGGCGAAGGGAAACGACTTGCTTACAAGATGTTTGACTTAACCTCCTAAACTGGATAATAAATACATAAATAAGTACATTAATACATAAATAAGTACATTAATACATAAATAAGTACATTAATACATAAATAAATAAATGTAAATCCAGAATCCGTGCCCAGGAACACCACTAGATGGCGAAAGACGGATAAATTCGACCTTAAAATTATTATATTCTAAATCTGAAATTATGTTTAGTATTACCCCTACATAAGAAGACTGAGATATGAATAGTACATTACTTATGGCAATTCTTCTGTGCGTTCACAGATCATCTGATCTCTTGCCCATGGGGTGGGTGGTATTAAAAAAATTGGGGTGAGGCACCTCTCCCTCTCCTCCCGCGCGCACGGCCGTGGCCGTGGCGTTGGGACACTCACGTAGCTGGTGAGTCCGAGCAGCGGCACGCCGTTGGCGGCCAGCAGGATGTCGCCCTGGCGCAGGCGGCCGCACGCCCACGCGGGCTGCTGCGGGAAGAGGCGCTTCACGCGCACCAGGCCGGGCCACGCGTCGCGCGCGTCCTCGGCGCCGCCGGCCAGCGACAGCCCCAGGCCCCGCGGCCCGCGCGCCAGCGCCACCGCGAACGTCGCCTCTGCGCACACAACGACTCATTTTGACGACCCAAAAACACTGCCACATAGTATCAAAGAAACACTCTTAAAATGCCTTAAAAACAGAAGAAAAAAATATGATCAAAAACAACTTCAGATGAACAACTCAATCTGTATACGTTGAATTGAATTGATGCCTTATTTTACGTGGCGGGACTCAGGCCATGAGGCCTGCTCTTCCGTCTGACCACGCAAATTTCGCTACGCTCCTTTCACCAACTAGCAGAGAAAAGAGGTATTTCTTGGGCGAGAAACGGGCGATTTCAATTTAGCTCTGAGGCGTCATTTAGGCTTGAGGATCTTTTACATGCAAGTAAATCTACTAACATGGGACAGCCGGCTTTACTTCCCCCAAGAAGGATTTTTTCGCCCTTAAAAATCCACGGCTTCGAATCCGCCAACTTGGGTACAACAGTCCGGTACGCTAACCGTTACACCATCGCCGCGCGCATGTACGTTACTGGCGTAATCGAGGTTGCTTCTATTCGTTCAAGTGCACTCAGCTGCCAAACGTTTGGTTTGGACCGTTCTTTGCCAGTCTCTGTCGTTAGTTATCCCGAAATCGACCGGGCCGACAATGGCGACAACAGGCCTCACAACCTTAGATTGCATACGACTGACATTACAATTTCTGAGCGAAGAAATGCAATACGCTACTCAGGAATTCTGTGAAGAACGCTAGCATCTCGTAAGTATCATTTTAAGCAAGAACCATTAAAATATTAAAAATCGATGAAATAAGCGAACATGCATTAAAAATGACGGAAGACACAAAAAATTACTTTTTAGTCATTATCCACGAAAAAGGCAAAAAATAACAGAAATGGGTCTATTCTTGTGATAACCTAAATCTATTTCTTATACTAAATGGCATTTTTTTCAGGTGAAAATAAAAAAAAATGACATTTCATTAAAATTCATTCTTCATTCATTCTTCCCTATTGATTAGGGATTCCGGACGTGTCAACTGACAAGGTAATTAGTCCCCTAAGTGTAGTGTATGTTTTTATCGCGGAAGGTGGTGGTGATCTTCCCCCGCTGGACGGCGAGAGTCGGCGTCGACCTACACGTCGACATGCGGGGCTTTCCCCAACCAGGTATCTCCCATCGCATCGCCCCAACTGGGACAATCTCTAAGCCCCCGGCTGGTCTACCGAAAAGAGTAGAAGTGTAGTGCGTGTGAATGTGTGTGTATGTAAGGGGGTGAGGATAAGACAAAGCAGAAGGAAAGATCGCGCGCAGTCCGTGGCCCGTCCGTCACGGTACTGTTTCGGCATTCGCCTTTCTTAAGCTGACACTTGAGTAAATTGATTCATGACATTCCGGGAAGCGGCTCTCCAAACTCTCTGGCAACCTTGCAAATGGTGTAGCATAAAATCAACTATATGTATTAATTGAATCAATGAAGTTATACTTCCATTCCTCTTATTATATGTTCTATACATTTCGTACAAATACGTTTTTTGAAAATAAAGTTTAATGGAGAAAAGTACCAGAATCTTTCCTATATATTTAGGCCACACATGTCTACGATAACACAACTTCCCATCACTGTAATATTATATTGAGTGAACGAAACTAAAACAGAGGAATGAAAAGGCACTGTTAACGGTTTGAATTCTTTATTGTTATTATCGTAAGTATACCCACAGTGAAAATAACGGATGCGGTTGAAGTTTGTAAACCAAGGCGATAGGAGAGGTATATAATCTACCAAGCCTGTTATACTCGTATGTGATTCCCGCCATCTCGCTGAATAATCAAAAAATATTTTCTTGGAAGAGAAGCACTCATACAACTAATTTGTTTAGATTGTTCTCAACGGCCTGTGGGGTTATTAACTTAAAAAAAGACACCATTACGAGATTTTTCGCGCCTACTTATTAGGTTATAAACCTCTGAAATCACCTCGGTTTACAAATTTCAATCATGAACTTTCTTTGCTCTACTGCAGCCTTATGTCTTTAATAACTAAAATATGGTTCAGAATAAATGTAACAAACTTCTAGGGATTTGGAAGAGATCACAATTTATCATTTTCTATCGATTAACATGGTGTGTGAACTCCCTAAGAAGTTTCACAAGTGATTCTTACAGTGCAAAAATGTAAAATTGCATAGATTTTTTTCTTCACCCACAAAAGTATTTTTCTGTAACTTTGGTGTTTGTTACAATCTTCTCAAAAATGGAAAGTATTTCTGCCGGACTCTGTAATATCGTGGGTATTTACAACAGGAGTATCGAAAAATTATACATCGACGCAAAGGTCCGTGGGTGTGTTTCCCACCTCCGACATGGACGTATTACGTATTACTGTGCACATAAATATGTGCGTATATGTGTGAATAGCGGGTTTATGGATGTTCACTTTAACCAACGGTGATAGTGCTCCGCGGTATCTTTAAATTAGAATAATGTGAGGTCATCGTACACACGACACTGAATAATGTATATATATTATTTACTTCAGAAAATTAGCACTCACTGCTTCTAACAGTCCTGGGAGTTTTCCACTCTTCAATAAATTCTTATTTTACTATATTGTGATGAATTCCACGGGTTCTAAGAAAGGACAGGACAGGAAGTAGGTTCTGTCGCATTTTTAAAAATAAACACAGATATGCTATATAGAGCCTGAATTTTGTCTGCATATTTTTCTTTGCTAATAGTTAGTTCAAAAACCATCTTTACGAATCTGCTCATTGAGCATTTCTGACTATTTTATTTTACAGATTTTGCCACATTTTAAGATTACTGCATATGCAGCATATTTTTTGAAAAATAAGGGGAAATTGTAATTATTCATTAAAATAAAACGTCTCGAAATTGGTAAATTTTGATTTATTAATATTGTGGCTCATGGAACAGCTCACCAGTCACCGTGAACAAGTGAATATTCTTTTGGCCTCAACACGGTTGCCAATTGATGTTGTTGTAGTGTACGTACGTTTCGCTCGTGCCACGTGTGCGACCAAAGGTAAAATTGAATGTCGGTAAGGCACGAGGCGTCGCACTCAGCCTCTCGGGCTCCAAACAACTATAAACCCTTGATATGTCGTGAATTTATTTTCCGTCAGTAATCGTTTTCCAGTTAACGAGAGCTTGTGCGTGGGCATCATCGGCGTGGGGAATTGTGGTTACATTTAGATTGAAAGTTTGTTTATTACAAATAAAAGCGAAAGCAATATTTGATGAAACTAGTTAATTTTTATTAAGATTTTTTAAATTAGATTTGGGAATTCTGAATTTTTTAAGAGTAAAGTTTTAGTCAAAACACTGCGATGTTTTCTATAGTTTTCATTAAATGTATGCTACCGGAACCCGGCAGTCGCTCACCCACCCACCCACCCAAAATTTCCCAAACTCTATACTCTCACTCATACACTCACTCACATGATGACCAGGATTCCTCGGCTTTCATTTCCTGCGATGCGCCATAAATTCCTTAACTTATGGCGCATCGTGCAAGCCGGGAACGATATTATCTTTATTTCATTGGAATAATGTGTTGCTTATCAGGTCAACTCGTTAATTTTATTTTATACGCCGGCAGAATATTTGCTGGAAAGTGCATGATATTATCAAAAGGAATGATACTGAAGGACTATATGATTCAACGTAGTCTTAAATGTCAAAGAAAATTCTAGAAAGAATGAAATTACAGATTACTATATCATATTCATAATGTAACTTTGAAGAAACACGATGCAAATTTTAAATGTGCTTATTCTCCCGTGTTTTTCTTACACTCAATATCACATTCCTCTTTTTTTCTTCATATCACAAATATTTTCCGTGACATTTTCTATTATTTCGGTTGTGACTAAGGAAACAAGAAAGAAGATGTAAAAAACAGTACAATTATTACTGGAAAAAGACTTTTAGAAAAGGGAAGTCTGTTCCAATTATGAGAAGTGAAATAGAATAGAGAGGCAAAACGTTGATTGTGTTGTCCGCAAGAAGTGCAAAGGAAGAGAGAGATTGTTGATTGGTTGACTGAATATATTTGATGTTTCCGAGCGTGTCAGACACACTGCTCATTAGTTCGGGTCAAAGTCTATCCTAGCGACAGATGTCCTGTATTTGGTAGAGTAATACACGTAAATGTGAGTGCGTAGAAGAAGGAAGAGGAAGGAATGGTTTGTTAGGGCACGGGGGCGGGGCCGGGGCTCACCTGGCGTGATGAAGGGGTAGAGCTCGGTGACGCACACGCTGACGGCGTGGGGCGGCGGCTGCGGCGAGAGCGAAGGCGGAGGCGTGGGCGCGGGCGTGAGCGCGGGCGTGGGCGTGGGCGCCAGCGACGCCATGGCGGCCAGCGGCGGCGCGGGGGCGTACAGGGGCTGCGGGGCGGGCGCGGGCGAGGGGGGCGCGGGCGCCGGGCGGAGCGGTTGCAGGCGCAGCTCCAGCCCCCCGTTGCGGTCCGGCCCCGCCAGCTCGCCCGCCCCGCCCACGCCCACCCCGTCGTCGCTGCCGTCCAAGTGGTTGGGCAGCGAGCCGCACAGCTTGGCGCGCTCCCCGTGCTCGGCGCCGTTCTCGCTGCCCGGCACAGCCGCGCGCGCCGACGCGCCGCCCTTGTGGCTGCAACGCACCGACACACCCTCACTAGCGCTGCTTCCTTCATTATCCACTCACAGGCGCACTTCATTCTTTGTATTACGATGGCCATACAATTTTAATGATCCCTCAAACAAGTTATCGGACCCCAAGCAAAATATTTAATGCACTTAAAATGCATGGAAACTAACAATTATCTAAAAATTGAACATGAAAGGAGAAAGTAAACAAGTCCATAGTTTTTGTAAGAAGATTAAATTTTCAAAAGCAGATGGGGGAAAACTACAAAAGCTCTTATCTATATTAGGAGACAGGTGTACAACTTAACGTTACATCCATTGAAGGGCGTCCCAACATCCGGTTCCTCCGTTTAGTGCAAGAATTGGCGCTGGGAATACGCAGACGGAATAACAAGTTATTGTGAATGACACTGCCCATAAATGTGTTTTATCTAAACTGATATTTTCATTTAACTAGCACTGATTTTTCATTTTTCAAGTTTCATATTTAAATAAACAATAGTTGGTCAGTGTAAAAAATATTTCCCAAAACTTTCAACTATAGTTGTGACAGAATGACCAAACAAATAAGGAAATATTCAGAACAGTGCAATACAGTACATCGTGATTTATTTGCTTCATGAGGTCGCACTAGCAATGTGGATTTTCAATTATTGTTAAACTAATTATTAACTCTCAAATAAATTTTACTTTATCTTATAGGAGAAGAAAAAAATACGAATTGCGCCTTAACATATACATAAATATTTCCACTTCGAACCGGAGAACAAGAAATAAGAATCAACGAATGCTCTGCACCAGGGTATAGAGAGATACTGTAAGAAGGGACAGCTATCACAGCTACTGCTTGGCCACTGCGGCACACATCACTGCACGTTACGCCCATGCACCGTGTGAGCGTTTACAGTTAACTCATTGGAAAATGTTTCATCACTACCTCTTCCAATGTCAACGTCCTGCAAGACGTTCATTTGTTTTCTGACCTGTCAAAGCGGTCCCTTCTTAAAGTTACTCGTCTATATGAGCAGGCGAACCAAGTACCGAGGCATTCAAATGACCCTCCCCCGCCCTGGCCGCTGCCCCGGCCGCTGTGCGGCGTCGAGCGCTCACTTGTGTCCGTTGCAGAGGCTGCCGCTGGAGAGCGCGCGCCGGCCGGCCAGCCCGGCCCCGGGCCCGCCCGCGCCCGCGCCGCCGGCCTGGCCGCGCTTGCCCGCGTGCCGGCTCACGTTCGAGCCCATCAGGTGGGGCGAGCTGTCTTGGTGCTCGGGGTCGTCGGCGTCGGGGTCGGGGGCGGCGCCGGGGTCCGCATGGTCGGCGGGCGCCAGGCGCAGGCGCACCACGCCGCCCGGCGCCCCGTCGCCTCGCAGCAGGCGCGCCGCCTCGGGGAAGGAGCGCAGCGGCCGCCCGTCCACGCGCACCAGCCGGTCACCTGCGCACACACACACACCACCACAATTAACACGCTTAGACTCCCACTAAAACATAGGCATTTCAATGTCACTAGCTGTGGGTAGATGGGGGGGGGAGGTCATTTTCATCGAATCGGAAGCTCCAATACCAAAACTTTAAGTCGTAAAGAAGATTCCCGATTAGATGACACAGTCCCCTCTCCGTTCAGCTCGTAAACTTGTGCTATCGGAGATAAAATAAACTTCTTCACTAGTCCATCACCAGCAACTCCAGAACAGAACAAAATTAAGAGGGCACAAAACCAACATTCGCGTTCGCCAGTCGAATCTTACGGAAGAAATAGTTTGCAACCAAACTGTCAGGACCGATCACCCAGTTGCATGAAACGAAACCAAAGGTTTGCTTCCGTTTTTCAGAATTTGCCTAACATAAACAGATGACACAGTTACCTGAATATACCAAATGTAATATGTACACTGGTATGGTGAAGCGGTAGGGTACGGTGTATGTATATTGGTACGGAGGTATGGGAGAAACATATGGTGTGGTGAATTACTCGCAGTCTTCAAAATAATCTAATTCAACGGGTACTTTATTGATATGAGTTGTGCATAGTAGACGCACTATATCGCTGCCTAATTGCATACACATTATAAATTTATACGAAAACTGATTTGATTCAGGATGCATTCTACTAGCAATACGTATAAATTTAAATTTTTATCTGAAACATCCCAAATAATATATTATCTGACAACGCCATCAAATCGTATCTACTGTATAATCCTGCTTATTTGTTTCAAGCGCACCCTGTCCCGTTCTGCGTCGTCTCCGCCATTCGAAGCGTGCGTCCACTCCCGCTCGCAGCGCGAGTTCCAATTCCGCTCCACCGCGTGCTCGGCCGAGTGCGCAGCGCACTGACTCAGCGGCGGCGCACCTCCCGGACCTCGGCGGCCCCGCCCCCTCCGCCCCCCTGCGCCATCGCACGGAGCGACCGCAGGCGCAGCACCCCAACCTCCCCCCCACACACACACACACACGCGCGCCGGGAGAAGAGCAGTGCCAACACTAATTCAATGCTAATTTCAACGTCGCTCATTCAGAAGCTAACAAAGTTCATATGATCATTTCATAAACATTTTTCTACGACTACTCCTGAATGTATACTCTTCTGTACGTTACCGAATGCAGTATTGATTCAGATTCCACAAGTCGTGCGAGAATATTATTCTCGCACAGTTGTCGACCAATCACATTCGTCTTAGTTCATTATACACGACAGGATGTTCTCGCAGTAGCCTACAGAGACACTGCAAGCTCTGCCGCGACAGATCGCAACTGTGCAAGTCAGGTGAACCGCGAAACAGTATGCGAGATGGTGTTTGTAAGCGTCAGAGAACACAGTGTTCTGTAGCTGTTCTGAAAGGTTAAGGCGTCCATTTTGTATTTTTAAAACGTCAATTTCAAAGTCTTAGAAAAAGTATAATCTTCTACTCGTGCAGAATGGCTCGTTCCTACGTCGCTCGTGTCGTAAACATCAACTCTTAAATAATAGTTATTATGCGCTCGTTGAAGAATATACTATTCTTTCCCCTCGTTGAAGTATCAATTTATCCTCTCTCTATAATTTTTTTGGGGATACTTGTGTAATAATTTTTCGTATAAAACCTGTGTTAATGTGTTATTATATCTTAAAATTATGAATTGTATAAATTTTTCTAGAGGCGATAAAAATGTTTTACTTCCGAAATCTTAGGTTTATGAAGTACACAAATATTTGTACTTTGAATCTGATACTTGAATTGCACTGGGTGGTGTTACAAACGACATCACGTCCGATGGAGGGGCAATTTTGTCTAATGATTCGCGAAGAGAGATGCAATAACTTCAGAAGCAGCGAGCGGAAAGACAAGAATTAGATTTCGAGCGCATCAGAGACTAGGAGGTGCCAGAAATTCACTTTACGACAGAAAGTGAGTGGTCCCTGTCGGAAACGTTTCTTCTACCTCTTGCTCTCATCAGTCGATTCCGTGGTTTCCCTCGTCCCTTCTAAGCGAGCCACATTAAGACTTCTGTTATTGATACAAAGAAAAAAAATTATTTTCGACTTAATCATGCTCTACTCCAATGCAGTTTGCACGTCTGTATACCTCCTTTGAAAAAATTCTCCGGTTTTCTTCGCAAAATGGTTAAAAATTACTTCTTTCATCTTCCACTCTACCGATTTTTCCCCCGAAGGTGTTTCTTTAGTTTTGACAAAGGGTGGACGTCACTGGGCTCCCAATCCGAACTGTTGGGTGAATGGCCCATGGCCAGTTCTTCACAACCTTCTTTGCTATCTGGGCAGCAAGCACAGGTGCGTTCACGTAAAGAAGCAAAACACCGTGTGACTTCACGCACCGCATCCACCTCAAATACCTCTCTCCACAACGATATGTTTCGTAGAAACTTATAGCATTACAACAATTAAACATACGACTATATAATGTTCAGAAAGTTTTCGAATTGATGAGTTGGTCAGAGCGGAAACTTACGGAACTGCCTAATATCATCCATCATTTCCAATCCGGGCTGGGGAACTGTACGTCCAGTCATAACGCACTCTTCCACCGGGCATTATCTGCACACGCCGGGGTGGGGGTGAGGGTGGGGGAAGTCTTACGGGAGACTAACGCTAGGAAGGAAACTCGATTTGCGAAAGATTTGTGTTGAATGATTCTGAAAAGTTAAAACTTTGACGAGTATTCGGCCTTGTGGATCGATTTAGTATAAAACTAATCCAGTATTGAGTACACAACCGAATTGCACAATTAGATGACACGTACTGTTTAATTTGAATTAAGAGCGTAGAATTCTGTATTCATCACATGCAAGGTTGTCAAACAACGACATTATAAACCATAAAACTTAAACAAAGATACAAATAGCATGCTCATTACTATAATATCTACTACCATGAAAAATATCTACTCATTCTTCTATTTTAAACTTGAGCTCTGAAGAGTATCACAGAATCGATAAAGCGTTAGAAAAACCTGATTAATGATGATATTGGATAAGTTTGTTAGCTTTTTACTAAATTGATCAACAACTTCATGCATTCAACAAAATATTTCATTTGTCACATAAATTGTGCATAAACCTTATTACAATATTACGAAACTAAGCACTACCACCTTAGTAACAGTAATATAGACTATAGGTTTGAGAATATATGTTGGTGAGATTAGAGGAATTTTAATTTATTTTGGAAGTAGAATTTACATCGGGAACAATTAATATAATAACACTCATGTGGCGATGCATTGGAGGAAAAAAACAAGAATTGCTAATATTCAAGTTTTACATTTTTGTTTAAAAATGAAATAGGTAAGTGTCAAATATTTTAGATTTTGCCCATCTTCGTATTTTAAACTATTGCTCTTAAGAACCCTTGTCTTTAGGAGCAGTCCTAAACCAAAACTAGCAGCTTTAATTTAGTTACTAACGATTATGAATCCGCCAATCAACAATGAGACTTCTCTGGGACCCACTGTTTGTTTTGGAACTAGAGATCAGACAAAATTTATTTTTACACACTGTAAACAAAGAATGGGTCCACGCGTCACTAGACATAATATGATTATTTTCATTTCTCATTATTGACGCGCCATTCTTTTCAGCCAATTCATGTTACTTTATTTCAACAGGATTGAAAAGGTTAGGGCACGATGCTAACCCACATTTTTGTAATTTTTGTTAGTCACAAAAAAAAATGTTTTTGAACATTCAGACATATATGTTTGTTTTCACATTTATTGTTGCATTCTATTCATAGGCCGAAGTTTTATGAGCATGTGTATGAAACTTTTGGATAATAATGTACGCTTTTATGATAAATTCTAAGATCTATATCTATAAAATCTGAGAAATTTTGTTGTTCCGATCCCTTCAATTGTTCACACCACTAGTTCAAAATCATTGTAAATTAATTTTTAGTTCCTACCCATCCTATCATTTGTAGTTCATCTAGAAGTCACGCACCCGTACCTTCCGCTGTCAAATCCTTTTCGACTGCCTAATCGCCCCTCCCCCGCCACTTCCCCTTTCACGCCACCGCCCGCGCCGCTCGTCGAACCGACGCGACGTGGCACGACGCGGAGCGGGGCGGGGCGGGGCGGGGCGGGGCGGCGCTGCCGTGTGTCATGTTCCGTGAAATTGCCCCCACCCCCTTCCCTCCCGGCCGCGTGTCGCTGCGTCTCCCGCGCTCTTATCGGCGTCGCGCCGCTTACCCGCGCGCCCACTCGCCCTCGTCGCAAGCTGCGAGATTCACTGCTCTGCCGTGTCAATCGCTGCCGCCGAGCCGCGTCGCCCCGCGCGCTACGCAGCCAATACCTGTCCTGTTCTTCGCGCGAAGGACTATCGATGGCCTTCGGAAGAGCGTGCGTTCGCATCTTGGCATAGAACAAAAAATGAGACATACATCTGTAAAGAGTGAAAAAAGAGAGAAAGAAAGAAAGAATGAGAGAGAAAGAGAGAAAGAAAGAAAGAATGAGAGAGAAAGAGAGAAAGAAAGAAAGAATTAGAGAAAAAGAGAGAAAGAAAGAAAGAATTAGAGAAAAAGAGAGAAAGAATTAGAGAAAAAGAGAGAAAGAAAGAATGAGAGAAAAAGCGACGAATCGCAGCAACCGATCAGAATGTTCCTTTGGGACACATCCAATATACGTAATACTTTCGACTGCCTACGTAGTTGAAGCATGAACATATTAATAGAGGTGATAGTTAGTTAAAAAGACGGAAGTGTGAAGAAACGCCGCAAGCAAGAGATCATTAAGCAAGAATTCATTAATTAATTCACTTCGCTTACACCTTAAAGTTTTTCATTTCAATTCGAACTCTTGCATGCGGCTCTGGTAGCATTCTTGCGTGGCTTTGAAATCTTCTAAAGCTAAAGTGAAAATTATGTAATTCTTTGCAAAGAGTTGCAGTCCTTCTTGGAACAACCTATTCGTGGGAGACGTATTCAATGGCATTTATTAA